CGATGCGTAATCCCCTTTCCTATCTGTTCCCCGAACGGTCACCTGGTCTGATGCCCGACATGCCTGGCTACAATGCCAAGTACGCACGCTTGCTCAAAGCTGCTACAACAGCTATGAACAAGCGCCAGCATGCCATGATCAAACATGCCAATAAGCTGCGCAAAGAAGAAAAATTCAAAGTAGGGGATTATGTTTGGGTCAAAATGTCTGAGTTTTCTGACGAAGAGGGCATATTACGAAAGCTTCTTCCATTGTACTACGGCCCTTGGCAGATTTTGAAGATAGTCGGGGATGACTTTGACCCTTCATTTGTGATTGACGTGCCTCCTCATCTGCGCACGTATCCGGTCTTTCATGCGTCCAAACTATTCCCACACATTGATGATGAGACCTTTCCGTTCCGGGACCCAATGATACCTCGCCCTATCGACGACGGCCATGAGATAGACAAAATCGTATTTCACGAGGGCAGAGGGAGGAATAGACAGTATAAGGTTCACTTCCTCTATCACCCGTTGACTGAATTCTTCTGGATCGACCAGAAAGAGCTGCTAAAAAGTGCTCCCCGTGTTGTGAACGCTTACGAAAGACAGATCACCGAGGGACAGACCGCTAAGTTCGTAGCAACAGTGACTCCTCATGGATTGACCAAGTCTCTTTTTCTGATGTACTCGTACGATGCGTTCTGACTGAGTTACTCGCTCGAAGGGACCTCGCTCTCGAGAGGGGAGTAATGTAATGACCCGCCAAAAACACAGACTGAGAACACTGCTGATTTATGGGATTTACCAATGGAATGAATGCCTTGCTGTGATTCCAGCATTCCGTTGTGGTCCCAAGTCTGTGTATGTGTGCCTGCTGGTTTGCATGCCTGTCTGATTGCTTGCTGGTTGGGTATGTGTCTGTGACCCGCAAGGGTACTTGTTGGTTGCAAGGCCCACCGGGCCGGTGCTTACCTGTGGCCGTGACTTGGAAGGGTTGCAGGGGGGTAAACACGCCGGTAGCGGGGAGTAGGCCCACGACACTTAGAGCAGCTGGGGAAAAACACTCAAGTAGCACGTAGGCCGAGCAGAAGAAGACAAAAAGTTGGCATTTTTAGAGGCCCAGTAGTGGTAGGTTAGAGGTAGGCCGGTACCAGTCCAAGTAGGGCCTGTGCGGACAATAACAGAGCCTACAATGATGTTTCCCTCCAAAAAGGAGGAGGTACCGGTTGCTGGGAGGCCGCTTGGCCTAGGAAGTCACCACCCAGGAGGCCGGTATGCCGCTATATCTTCAGGAAGAGCGGAGAGCTCTTCCTCATTTGCGGTATGCAAGGATTGGCGACATGCTGCTGGAGCGCAGCGCTGGACTGAAGCAGCGCTGCTTGGAGGTGAAGGTTCGCTGGGGCTCAGCCTGGCTATGGCGAGCACCCCAGCTTGAGGAGGAGGAAGAAAGGGCATGGTAGGAGAGTGGTAGGGCACTTACCTGGCTATGGTGGACACCGTCTTCATCACCTTGTTGGGCGCTGCATTAGAAAGGCCCCAGTTGGGGTAGCGCTGCACCAGGGCAGCTCGAGGCAGAGTCAGGCATAGCGGACCAAGTCAAGCAGCGGCATAGCTGCTTTGGGGTGTCTTCTGGACATCACGGCAGCACCATAGCTGCCACCCAGTAGTCCGCCATGGCCTATGCATGAGAGAGGAGGTTGAAGGAGGGAAGACATAGCCATGGTGGACTTGTTGTTGTTGTTGTTGTCGTGAGTTGCATCAGCAGTAAGAGGGAACTTCGGACATTGATTCTGGTTCATCCATTCATTGTTATTATTATTATTGAGAGAAGGATAAGATTGGTGAAGAGAAGGAGGAAGGAGGAAGGTGGAGAGAGAAGGGGGGATTGTCATTGGTCTTGCTGGTGTACTTTTTCTTCTTCTTCTTCTTCTTACCTCTCCTCTGGTCTTACCTCTTCGCAAGTGCTTTATTTTCTTTCGCAATTGGGTGGCATTGTCTTTCATTGTGAATTTGCACTTGGGAAATGACCAGGATCGTAACAGCCCGGATGCACTAGGAAATTTAACGCTTCATCTTCGTTTAACATGGGGCAAGTTGTGGGGTTGTGGGTGTAGAAAACAACCATGACTGCAGTCCGAGAAATTACGGACTGCATGGGGATGCCAAGGCTAAGGGGAAATGGGCTACGGCAAGCCGGAAGGCTAGAAAGGAGCAATTTCGACCAGGGGCAAGTAAATACGGTAAACGGCAACCGTGAGATTAGATCTCACAGCCTAGAAAAATCGGCACGCATGTAGAAATGATGGGACCACCAAGGGCAATGGGCCCCAAAAAAATAAAAATGGGACGCCGTCCGGAATGTTGTCGGGGACCAAATGAGTCCAAATAATAAAAATCGAAAAACGGGACATGCGCCGGCGGGGCCGCTGGCAGGACAAGAAAATGGGATTAGTACGGAGGAGAATGGCGGGGACTTGGGATGTCCCAAGGGAACCATGAGCAAGCACAAGGAACAATTGTGCAAGCAAACGGCACCGTCGAGATCAAGGATCTAGACGGTGGAAAACATTAGCACCACTAGTGCAAGCACTAGTGGGGGCAAGTGGGAGAGCCATCGGGAGAAAAGAAAGTAACATAATAATGTTGGGAGGGCTGCCCAGCACTCCGAAATATCTCGGACTAGCTAGGCATGAGAAAATAGAGCCTTGAGAGGCTCAACATGAGAAAAAGGTTGTCCTTAGAAAATCGGAGCAAAAGGGGCTCAGAATTGGGCAAAGGGGAGCAAAATGTAACCCCTTAGGAGTATGGGGGTGCCATTGTTGGAATCCGAGATGAAACCGCCAAGTAACAGCCATGAACCTGGCCTTGAATGAGGCCCTAGGGCCTAGAAAGAGGGTGCACAACAGTTTGACACTTGTCACAACAGAAATAAAAGAAAAAGAAAGAAAAATGAGAGAAAAAGGAGGGAGAATGAGACAAAAAGGGAGAAAAGAGTAGAGGAGAGTGTGCCGACCTATTGGGACCTGCACAGTAAGGACAAGCAGGTCCCAACCGTGACCTCATCCATCCTAGAATAAGAGAGGGCAATCCGGATTGAAGTGATATGGCCCTTAGGGCCATATCTCAATAAAATCTGAATTAAAAAGCAGAAAATGAGAGAATATGCAAAAAGGAAGTGGCCGGTTTTCTTTTGGGCCATGGATCTCAGATCTCATGGTAGAGAGAAACTAGCCGTTTTTTGTGGGCCAGCTCAAAACGGCTTGCTCCGGAATGAGGTGGCAGCCCAAAATGGTAAGAAACAAAAGAGGGAAAAAAACAAAAAAAATGCATTTGGCCCAAAAAGAGAGCCAGATGCACCAAAAGTTGAAAAACTGGACTTAGGGGCTCAAAATTGAAGCCAGGGCTACTAGGGGGTAGCTCGAATTATTGTTGGCCTTGGATCTCAGCCAGATCCAAGGCTGGAAATGTGCCGCCACATGGAAAAATGCTCCGGCCTACTCAAAAGAGGCCGAAACTTGAAAAAATCGAGAAAAGGGTCCACAAGGCCTTTTTCTTTCAAGTAAAAATGCCCCTTGGGCACTAGGACCCAAGGGGGCAGCATTTGTGAGCCAAAAAGGAGGCCGGAGTAGGCCAAGAGGCAGTCCGAGTTGGTACCAACCACTCAGACTGCATGTACTTGGCCAAAATGAGGCCCAGGTACCTCCAGGAGGGCCTAGTAAGGGAATTTTGCCATGGGGGTACCTCGGTTCACCTCAAGGCTCATAGGGAGGCTCATGGGCTGGCCGGACTGCTGGTTTCAGCCTACATAAGCTGAGGGTGCAGTCCGCCACTCTCACATTTGCATGAGGAGTGCCCATGCTGCCCAAGTGAGCTCACAGGAGCACCTTCGCGCTTGGAGTGAGGAGGGAGGAGCCCATGCTAGTGGGAGAGCTTAGAGGTGACTAGAAGGTAGTGGGGAGGACTCTAGAGGATGGTGAAGGTGGGAGAGACACTTGGGAGGTGATCCGCCATATCCCTCCTGGGTGTAGGAGAGAAGGAGAGGCTAGAGGAGCCCCATGAGCCCTTCTAGAGGGGAGGACTCCATAGCCATAGCTGGGGGAGCTTGCCATAGCCTGAGAGAGAACAACGAAGGAGGAGAGAAGGGCTTCGAGAAGAAGGACGCCATAGCCAAGAGCGGATTGTACAAGGAGTGAAAGCTTCATCAAGAGGACACCAACATCAAGGAATCAACAAGGTGAGAAGAAGGAAGAGACTTTTTCACCTTCATCTTCTTCTTCTTCCTTCTCTTCTTCTTCTTCTTCTTCTTCTTCTTATTCCTCTTCTTTTCCTTCTTCCTTTCCTCCTTCTTCCTCTTCTTCATCCTCACTCCCTCCTTCTTCCTTCTCTTCTCTCCCCCTTTATCTCCTCCTTCCCCCTCTTCACTTCCATTCTCTTTGTCTTCTTCCTCTTCTTCTCCATCTCCATCTCCCTCATCTCTCTCCCCTTCTCCTCCATCTTCTCTTACTTCACCTTCTCTCTTCCATGGGCTAC